AATTTTCAAGTTAGTATTTTGACCCTCATAGTTCACGGAACAAGTTCACAGGGTAGAAGTTCCTAATAATAAAATAATAAATAAAAAGTAATAAAAGTTCCTAATAGTTCACATCATGATATTGATGGAAACAACGCTAGCAGCATGATTTGGACTTAGGTATCTGACCCTGGGTTAAGGCTGAGCGAGGTCTTTGAGGTACTCCCCAACCTGGGATGGACTAGTTACCCTTGGGCTTTACAGGTGAGGAAGGCCTGGAGGTCAAGGGCAGATTCCGAAGGACTGTGTCAGATGTCATCACTGCACGCCTGACACTGGTTTGGCTGCCGCCGCCTCAAGGGGAGGAAGCAACTTGTGAGACTTCCACTGCAGGACATTTGTTAAGTTCACTAAAAATCCTATTTTGAATGAGGAATTTCAAAGAGTTTTGAAGAGTTGATTCAGCTCAGTATTCTATTGTCTACCGCGCAGCGCTAGGTGCTGTGGTGGAGTCTGTCTTGGTATTTTTATTTTAGAAGTTAGTGTTAGGAAAACACTTCTTCCTTGAGGGGGCGTGGGAGCCTTCCTTCCACTGGAAGAGACCCACAACACCAGCCATCTGGTGTGGTTACCTTTCCCTTCTGGTTTCTGGAAACGCAGAACCAGAGTCGAAGGCAGAACAGACGGTGGTAGGAGTGCAGTCAGCCAGGTTAGTTAGGGGCCTGGGCAGAGGGTCTAGCAGACCCCTTCCTGCCTAGTATGCTGATGGGTAGCCCCAGGGTACAGCTGGGACTCTGCTCTGTGTGTGGCCACAGGTCTCCCCTGGTACTGGGAATTGAACTCAGGGCCTTTGCCCTGACCTACATCCCCAGCCCTTCTTTTATTTTGAGTCAGAGTCTTGTTAAAATTCTAAGTTTCCCAGCTGGGCCTGAATTTGCAGTCCTCCTGCCTTAGACTCTCCCAGAGTGCTGGGATTGCAGGCATGTACCACGGTGCCTGGCTTATGCTGATTTTTATCACCATACTGAAATGGATTGACCCTTTTTTGATATATATGGATTTGCTTTGCTTTTTCATTTCTCTTTCTGTCTGATTTTATTTCCTCTGTAATTTGATATGAGGTGCCTTAAATCTGTGGGAAGAGGTAACCCATGAGAGTTCTCAGGGTCTTTTCTTGCTCTGTGACCCCATGCTGCCCGTGCAACATTCCATCTCCTGGAGCTGGTGTACCTTGGTCAGTTCCACCCCAAGTCTGTGCTGTAAGGTGAGCAGGAGGAACAGGTGGCCTCCCTCTTCCCGAGGGGGAGTTCTTTGCAGCATGCTGCAATGGGGCCTAGGGTGCTGATGGGATCCTCCTTGCCCTGCCCACAGAAAAGCTGGGGAAAACCTATGGTTCGTGTGGCTGGAGCCTTCCTCAGAAGTGCTGGGCTGTGCTGGTCTGTTCCTTTGTGTGCCCACAGCGAAGACATGTTTTACACCTGGCCTTGGAGTGCTGATGTGGGAAATATCTGTAATTGACTTCAAGTTCCGTGTTCATCTTCCCTTTAATTCTGTCAGCATATTGAACCCAGGTACCTAGCTCCTGTGGGTAGCATTGGTCTTCAGTGTCTTGGCCTGAAGCATTCTGTGCTTGCCCCCAAGACACTCAGTGTCCTTAGACTCTTGCCTTTATTTTCTTCACTTTGTCTTCCCTGCCCTCTAATTTGCTTGTACAACAAAAGGTACCTCAAGAACATCGCTGGGTATGGCATTAGGGAGCCCAGAGACATGAGGATCTTATGTAGCAGGAAGTAGAGGAATTCAGGGAGGAGTTTCACACCAAATATCTGGTGATCTATGTGATTTTTCCCTAGGAAATACCTAAATACCCTTTTTTTGTTTGCTTTTGTTTTAGTTGCTGAGGATGGAACCCAGGGACTTGGGCACGCTAGACAAGTGCTCTCCCACTGAACTACACTCCCTGCCTGATACTGTTCTGTTTTTATAGTAAGGTGTATTTTTCCATATAGAGTTTGAAAATTCATAATTGAAATTTTTAGTTTGCCAAAAGCAAAGTTGGTAACTACAGTGACCATTTGTGTGTTTTTTTAAGCATCTTCAACAGTCCCCAGGGTTTTAGAATAAATCATAATTTGAATGTTCTACAAGTACATTAAAAAGGCCCTTTATGTCTGCCTTGTCTTTTTCTCTTCCTTATTTTGTTCCAAAAGGCTGTGGGGTGTCTTACGTAAAACAGATATAAAATTGTCTATTTTAATGGAGAATTGAAGCAAAGGGAAAATAAATGGAAAAAAAAAGAAAGCCAGGTTTTTATGATCTCCCAAGTCAGTACCCACTCCAGCATATGCTGCTGGCCGAAGAGACTGCAGGGCTCGGCTCCAGGAATGGCCCCAGGTGTCTGTGACAGTCACAGAGGGCTCATGGCTGGCGTGAAGTGGTGTGTCCTCAAGGGGGGTGAAGGCCACCACCCGTCTTGCTCCCACAGTGGCTGGAAGCAGTGATGAGAACCGCGCGGCCACACACGTGCCTGCCTGCGCTCAGGGAGCTCGAACACGGTGCTTGTGTGACCTTGAGGTTGGTGGTTTTCTCTTTCCAGGGTGCGTATAGTCTGTGAACGCTGCGTTTCTGAGATTATTAGGGTATGTTTCTGTAGCATAGGGAGTTAAAGATACAAATGCATGTGGTGGTCTCTCTACAGGGCAGGAGTGGCTGTGGATCATGGTGGCCATGAGACACATCGGTGGAGGGTTTGATGACAGCAAGTGGAGAGGGAAGGAAGAGCAAGGTTCCTTCCACTCCACTCTCTGCGTCCTTGTTCCTGTCCCCCACCCCAAGATGGACACCCTTGTGAGAAGGGAATGCAGGTCCACGGTCTCCTGTCTCCAGCCCCCAAGTCCAGGGTTTTGTGGAGTGGTGGTCACCAGGGTAGGGAGGGGAGGATGGAGCGAGGTTAGGCAGCAGATGCCAAAATACAGTTGGACAAGTCAAGGGAGTTAGCTGGTCCCGCGGGCGGATGGCAAAGCCCTTGCTTGGGGAGCATCACAGCTGTGACTTTCAAATGGAAATGAGGAGGCTCTTGACAAATTCCAGGCGGGGTGGTTGGCCAGACCCAAGCACACAGAGACTAAATTTGGACCTTGCTTCCTCTTCTCCTTTCCTTGTATCCGCGGATAACTGAGTTGGTGAGCGTGGACGGAGGTTGGTAGGTTCCAGCGCAGGCCTCTTCTCTTCTGCCATGTGCACAGGCAGTGCCTCCTCCGTTCTGCCTTAGACCCGGCCTTCCCCTTCTCGTTCCAACGCTGGAGTGCAGAGGGCTGGGTGGGAGCTGTACCTGGCAAGACATCCACATTCACCTTTCCGTTCTGCGCTGCTCGGATCAATAGGGTGGTGTGCTTTGCTCCTCGTCCTCAGGCATGTTTTGCTTCTGTTTTATGGCTGATATTTTGAAAGTGACTTCTGCATTTTTCTCAAACTCACTGATATTTCTTTAAATAAATTACTGCTCTGTCATTATATACATTTTGAAAATACACAGAAAAAGGAAAATGAAGATCATACATTACCCACTGTTAACACTTTAATTCTTCCTCAGTTTATTCTTATCTTTGGAGTCTGAAAATACTTGTGCATGCTGTGTTTCTGCACAGTTGGGCTCTGACTGAATATATGGATTTAGATCTGTTTACCTGGATCAGTGTATGTTCACAGATGTGCTTTTAATGGCTTTCTACCTTTTTATTTCATCCATTGTTGGCTTAGTCAGTGGCTAAATATTTCAGTTGTTTTCTACTTTTTTCATAATTATAAGTTACATGGAGCAGCACATTCTTGTCTGTAAAGTACAGTACATGTCTCAGATTATGTCATAGTCTGTGGTCTGTCTTATTGTGTGTACAGTGGAGCAGAGTTTTATCCATGTAGGTTACGCTAGAATGGAAATAATAACTCCCACATTAAAGAGCTGCTTCCTATTCACATTTGGATTCTGAGAGTACATTCCATGCATCCCAGCCTGTCTTGTAGCTGAGAGACACGCCAGTCTTCACTCGGCAGCTTTGAACAGTCAGAGGCAGGGTTCGCTTTTTTCTTTTCTAAGTGGGGACCAAACCCTGGGGCATCCCATCACTGAACTACATCCCCAGCGCTTTTAAATTTTTACTTAGAGACAATCTCATCAACTTGCTCAGGCTGGCTCCAAACGTGCGATCCTCCTGCCTCAGCCACCTGAGTAGCTGGGATTACACATATGCACCATTAAGGGTCCCCTGCTTAGACTTGGGCTCTTTAATCAATGCCAACGCCGCTTTGTCAGAATAAGATCTTATAGGGAAATAGTTTATCTGAAAAGTCAACAGAGGATTTCCACGCATTTACTGACAAGCCTTCCCTGTGGTAAGGAAGGAGTGAACTTGCATCATAGTTTGAATATGTATGAGTTTTTAAATTGTGGTTTTATTTATTTTTCTTAGTTTGTATTTAAATTTTCAAAAAAATTTTCAACAGTGGCTTTAAGGCCATTCTAAAAATGCAGCTCTTTCTGTATAAGAGCCTGGAAGTATAGGACAAGGACCCCGGCCCCTCGCCCATGACTGAGTACTACCTCCCAGCACATGTCCTGGCTTCGGTCATCAGCAGGGGTTGCGCCTTCCAGTGCCGTACCCTGTTTCTGTCCTCTTGGTCCAAGGAGCTCTCAGATCCCACGCCTGGGGTCCAGGCTTCCTGTTCCCCTGCTCACAGTGTGGGACTGTCCCCTCGCCCTGAAGGGACAGCTTTCACTTCAGTCATCTTTGGCCCCCTTCCCTCCTTGGGTGTGAGCCCCTTTTGATGTCCAGGTTCCCCAGCTCTTTCCCTTCTGCCACCCTGGCTGGTGGCCTCAGGCTCACCCATGTGACCATAGAGGTCCATGGGCATGGAGACGAGGGGCAGCCTGTGCTCGGGGAGCCTCCACAGACGGACTTCGTGTGTACAGTTTTGGGGATGAGTAGGCCAAAGACTACACAAGTGTCTCCATTGTTTTCTAGAGAAGAAGACGCCCAGAAAGGCCAGGCCGTCCCGGGTGTGGCGGGAGCGGAGGAACGCCATCCGGCTCACCAGCGAGCACACGGTGGAGACCCTGGTGGTGGCGGACGCCAACATGGTGCAGTACCATGGGGCAGAGGCTGCGCAGAGGTTCATCCTCACTGTCATGAATATGGTGAGTGTGGGTCCTGTGTTCTTCTCCAGGGATGCTCTGGAAGCAGGCGCCACAGCCTCCTGTCAGACACAGCAACAGCTGGCTGGGGGACGGCGTGTGTGGCATTGTGAACCTGGGCATCTGGGGCGGTGGAGCAGTGGGCATCAGTGTGTTCAGCAGGCTGCGCACCCTGAGGTGGTTAAGTGCCAGATCGCCTGGTGATGGTGACCCGAGCACTCATGACCAGAACGCTTCATAAGACCTTTGCTCTGCATGAGCCTCATGCCAAGGGGTGGTCAGAGTTGAGGTAGTCCCAGGTCTGGGCTCTAAGCAATCAACAGTCTAGCAGGAGGAATCAGAATCCAGCTTTAATGGAAAAGAGTTTCTTATGTGCCTGAGAGCCTGTGGGAAGCTGGGAAACTATTTATCAATTTGAGGGAACCGCTGGGCGTGTGGCGCACGCCTGTAATCCCAGCACTCGGGAGGCTGAGGTAGGATTGTTGCAAGTTCGAAGCCAGCCTGGGCTAAACAAAGCATCATGTTACCATAGAAACACATGCAGGGACCACTGGGGTCCAGGTAAGGAGCTGGCTGGTGATCATCTGGTAACATGGAGGTGTCGTGAAAGAGCAGACCTTGTTTAGAGAGGGAGTAGGTGCTGGATAGGTTGGGGGTGTGGGTGGGGAGTCACAGAGTGGGTGCAGCAAATGTGAGGCCTGAGAGTTTAGCAGCTCCATTAGGAGAAGGTAGATGGCATGAATAGGGTGCACAGAGTGGAGGATCCTTAAGGGTGTGGGTGCGTATGTGGACAGGGTTGGGGGGAGGATGGGTAAGTCATCCTGAGGCGTGGGGCTTATTCCAAGGAGCAGCAGGACCCTCTCAGGGGAGCGGAATGATATATCTAGATCCATGATTGAAGGAAGTCCCTGAGTTGCTGTGCACAGGGTGGACTGGAGTGGGAAGCAGTGAGTGGAAACGTCGGGAATGTGTGGGTACGGAAGAAGGTCTGAAATAAGAGGCAGGAGTGGGCATGGGGGAGGTGCTGGGAGGAAGCGGAAACAGGTACATGGCAGGATGTGGAGGGGGTTGGACGAACAGGAGGAAGAGGCAGATGTGGGGACTTGAAGCTGGGAGCCTGGGTGGATGCTGGAGGTACTGACTGAGCAAAGGAGGAGCGGAGTGTTTGCGGTCTTGGGGAAGATTTCCATCCTAGCAAGCTGAACTCTAGGTGAGCGATCGGGATGGCAGACTTCACTGGAAAGAGGAAGTGGGGCTTTTCAGCTCGGAGCTGGTAGTGCGAGCTGTGGACATGGCCAGCGTTTTCCGCGGGAGCATCTGTGTGAGTGGAGAAGGTGGCCAGAGACAGCCTGTGGAGCATCAGGCCGAGGGCTGCGGGCTCCCTCCTCCACGTGGGGGGAGGTTGTCTCTGCGAAAGGCTTGCAGGTGCAGGATGGGCCGGTTAGCAGTGCCAGGTGCTGGGTTGGTCAGGTCCCTGGTAGAGTAGCCTTCGGGATTGCTGAGGGCGGATAGTTGATGGGGAAAAAAAGTGAATTGAAATGAAGAAGTAGGAAGAGCAGTTGCAGGTGATCTTTGGTGCAAGGGGAGGGAGAGAACCTCACAGGATGGAGTTGGGTCTGGGGACTTTGTGGAGGAAAGGGGACGGGAAGCCATGAGTGTGGTCAGCCTGGCTTCGCCTGTAAGTCAGTCGCTGAGCTCCTGCCACACGAGTGTGTGTGCCTGGCACAAGTGACAGGTCCTGTTATGATGGGAGTGAGTGGAGGAGGGAGCAGGTTCACCTGAGCTTTTGCAGGTTTTGGCAACAGTGACAAAGCTCTGGGTGCTGGGAGCTGAGTGCGGGGAAGGGAGTCGGCTGTGACCTGAAGCCTTCGGGAGGGGCGTTGGGGTGCTCGAGGCCGTCATGTGGGAGGAAGGGAGAAGATAATAGCATAGCGTTGTGGGTAGACAAAGCCTGCAGGTGGCTCTTTGCCCGGGTATTGCTGAGGGCCCTCTGGGGCTGTCGGAGTGCATCTTTGTGTGGGGTACACACACCTGGATGGACCCCTGACGTTCCTTTCCTCCTGGAATCCCAGCCCTGGTCATCACGTAGCTGGGGTTGTGTGGCGGGAAGGCCAGGTGGCACACAGTGGGCTGCACAAAGTACACTCGGACTGGGACCCCACGGCTTGTTTCCCAAGAACCAAGAGGTTTGGGGACATCACCAGGGTCACATGAAGTCACTGGCAGGGTTGTGAGCACTGGACCAAGCCTCTCTCTTACTGGCCACACGGAAGTAGATCTTGCTGACCACACTCCTGGGGAGCTCCACGGTGGCCCTGCTGGTTGAGAGGATGTCTTGGGTCCTCTGTTCCGTTGTGTCAGGCTGGCTTCTTGATCTGGAGGAGGCTCCATCTGCCTTGTCCACTTCCCTCAGACATGCTGTGCTCTAAAGCAGAAGTTGTTTTAGCGATGCTTTGAGAACAGTCTCTGTGTTGAGTTGCTTGTTGAGCCCATGTGTTGAGTCAGGTGATGGGCCCTTCTGTAAAACCAACTGGTGACAGAGGCCCTGGGACGCTCTGCTGGAGGCCTCTTTCGAGCTAGAAGGCCTCTGTGTATGCAGTGGAGGGCAGCATCGCCTCTGGGAGTTCCATCAAAATGTTTTTCTTTCCAATTTCTTCTTTTTTTTTGGTGGCAAAGTACACATATTATAAAGTTCCCATCAAGGCTATTTGTAAGTGTCCAATTCTGTATGTTCATGTTGTCGTAAGTCTCTGTCCACCTCCAGAACGTGTCCATCTTGCACACTTGGCCCTGTGAAACAACCCCCATCCCTCTTTCTATCTCTGTGAGTTTGACTACTCTGGGTTCCTCCTCATCAGAGGAATCACGCAGTATTTGCCTTTCCATGACTGGCTTAATGTCACGTACCATAAAGTCCTCAAGGTTCATCTATGCTAGAACCTGTGTCGGAATCTCCTTCCTTTTTGTGGCTGAATAATGTTCCTTGCGTGTACAAGTGTCATACTGTTTGTCCACTCATCCATGGGGCTCGTACTTGGGTTGTTCCTACCTTTGGCTGATGGTTTGCTTGAATTTTTCTCAGAATTCATGTATTGGAAATGTAGTCTGAAAATTGCATGTGCTAATGGCATTTGGAAGGTGGGGAGATGATTAGAATTAGATTAAGTCATGAGGATGGGCCCCCATGAGGGCAGTCATGCTTTTTATAAGAAGAGGAGGAGCGATCTGAGCTCGCATGCTCTTCTGTCTCACGGTGTGATGCCTGCTGCCATGGAAGGGTGCAGCCCTCATGAGAAGCCAGGCAGGTGCCAGCACCGTGTTCTGAGACTTCCATGCCTCCAAAAGCATGAACTAATAAACCTCTATTCATTACCCACCGCGTGGTATTCAGGTATAGCAACAGGAAACAGACTGAGACAGTTATTCTGAGTAATGCTGCTGTGAACGTGGGTGTATAAATATCTCTTTGGATCCTTGTTTTCAGTTCTTTTGGGTACATAGCCTGCAGAGGAATTGATTTTGCTCACTTTTAATGGCATCTCGCCCTGGCTTATAAGAATGGCTTCTGTGCCTTTTGTTTGCACAGACCCAGGTCTCCTTTGGCGGCTGGGTAATGATGGGCTGCTGTGCTGAAGTCTGCCTGGAGGAAGCTGGTGAGGACGGCTGCTGGGGCCTGGCTCTGCAGCAGGCTCTTTCATCTGCGGATGATTCCCTCTTATTTATTTATTTTTTAATTATCCAAGGTACAAGCGCAAGGAATAAACATTCATTACATCAGCTACAGTAGTAATAAGGCAGAGCCTCTGCTTTGATAGTTGCTTTCAGGCCTTATCATCTGCGCAGGGACAGCTGTTTCCCCCACAGGCAGGGAAGGGCCGGGGATGGGCATTATACATGGAAACAGGCCCCACCGCCCACCCCACACAGGCTGCAAGGACCGAAGGACAGGAGGGACAAAAAGGGTCCGTTCCTTGCTTTTCATTTAATGCCCTTCACTCCTCTTCAGCTGCTTATGCTAATCCACGTAAGCATCAGGATCCTACTGCCGAGGGCAGGTCTGGGGTCTGCTGTGTCAGATCTGGGTTGGAAGTTTCCAAAGGTCACCTCCTTCCAACAGGGGTGATCCTGCTATGGGGTGATGATGCTTAGCCCTTTAGCTGTCTGTACTTGGGATTCCTGGTGTGAGTGAGGCAAAAACAAATGAAAGCAGAGCCTGGGGACCCATCCTCACGGCTGGCACCTTTCCATATGACCCTTCTCTCTCCTGCTATGGAGAGTTGCTGTCCAGTGCATTGAAAGACAAGTAGCCTTCAGATGTGACACCTTGCTATGGACAAGACCAGCCTCCACCTCCGCCAATGTCTCCCTTCTTCTATCCCTCAAATCCGGTTTAGGAAATTAGAGGATTTCTGTCTTGCCTCTGGCTGTTTTAGGAAAGAGATTCTGTGTGGAAATGAGATGACTCCTAAGCCAGCAGGAAGGGAAGGGATTGCGGTGGGGCGGGGAGCCCTGTGTTAGACACCACCCAGGAGCTATGTGTAGGAGCAGGAGCCTGCGAGCCCTCTGCCTCCCTCTGGGAGTGTTTGTGGAGCTGCAGGCCTGAAGTGGCTTTGGTCCTTCATCCCCCTAGATATACAAGGAAACCTGCTGGAATTGGTGGCCTCCTTCATTCCAATACATTTCTCTCTAAGCTGTGGAAAATGGTGTCCTCGGTGCTGATGGCCCGGCACCCTTCCCACCTTGCCACTTGGATCTTTGCAGGCAGAGTCCCAGCTTGCACGTGTGCCACCTTGACCTCTAAGGTGGGACCCGGCGAGAAGCTCATCCAGCCCCTGCCCCTACTGCATGCTCACATTGCTTCGTGAGCCATGAGAATTTGATCTCGAGTATTCACGGTTTTCACAGCATCTCACAGCTGTGATTCCATAGATCAGGGTCCCCCGTGGCCTGAGGGCTGAGTTACGGTGGGAGGAAAGACGGAGGTGCGTATGATGAGCCTGCCA